GAGAAGAATGCAGCAAGTAGGGATGAGGAGACCCAGGTCCTGGACATGGTTGCATGACTTTGGACAAGTCACTTCCCTTCTGCTTTGTCCACTCAATCAATTCTTTCAACAGGCAAGCATTTGCAAATCACTTAGCCACATGCCGAAGACAGAACAATGAAGAAAACGTGAACGCTGCCCTCAAGAGATGAGAGCCTAGCCTGAATCTCCTCATGCACAGGAAGGCTCTAACCCCCATCCCACCTCTGTCACAGGGACATGAAATGAAATGAAGAAAGGATGCAAAGGAGCTTCACAAGTGCGCAACTCCATAAGTATTTCTGTGGCTGTTCATGGCTGCATATTATTTTATCCACTGGATGTTCCCAAACGTTCTCAATCATCTTCCTATTGTCGGGCACTTAGTGCCAATTTGCTACTATTATGGGAGAAGTCTGATGGGGATTCATCCAAAGGAAATTATGTAAAAAGAAAAAAAAAAAAACCAGATGCACAAAGACGCTGCACAACCTTTGGAATGACTGGAGGGAGACCAGTCCTTCATCTTAAACTCATGAGGCTGCAAACCAAATGCATGACCCCCACCCCAACCTGCTCCTCCCCCAACCACTCCAGGGGACATCTCAGTGCGGTTTCCACCTTCCTTCCTCGGCAGCCCTCGAAGTCCACAGTGCAGATTTTTTTTGGTGGGGGGGGTACGTGGGCCTCTCATTGTTGTGGCCTCTCCCGTTGCGGAGCACAGGCTCCGGACGTGCAGGCCCAGCGGCCATGGCTCACGGGCCTAGCTGCTCCGCGGCATGTGGGATCTTCCCGGACTGGGGCACAAACCCGTGTCCCCTGCATCAGCAGGCGGACTCTCAACCACTGCGCCACCAGGGAAGCCCCACAGTGCAGATGTTTTTCCTAAAAGGCCAAGCCCACCCGTTACTTATGGTCCTTACAGTCGCCAAAAGGACCTTCCCAGACATGGTTCTGTCATGCCCCAAACGCGTACCCCATGCAGACCAAACACCCACAAAGGTTCCGGCAGCCTCCAGGCTCCTTGTCAAGTGGAAACACCTTTGTCTGACATTTGAGAGAGATTAAAGGGGGAGGGAACTGATGTTAGCTGTGCCCCTGTGGTGTGCCAGCACTGCTCTAGGTCTTTTACATAACAACCCTAATGTGGTCTCAGTCAGATAGGTGTGTTTGTCCACATTTGACAGATGAGGAAGCCGAGGCTCAGATCAGCTAAGTGATAGCCCGAGGGCACGTGGCTAGTACACAGTGGAGCTGGGACTAGAGCTCAGGTCCGGCAGATTCCAGAGCTTTGACAAAGACCCAAACACAAGCTGACTTTCTGAGTCACCTCCCAGCACCCCCAGCTCCCTGCACCATCTGCTGCATGCACACCAGACTGCCCATTCTTCAAAGACACCCCTATTTCCCTCCCCTCTGATCCAGGGGAGTGGGTGCCCTTAACCCCAGAGCTATCAAAATTCCACTTGGCCTTTGGTGCCCAGCACAAAGGCCCCAATCTCCTTGAAGCCTCCCCTGATCACCAGAATAGGAATCCACGCTGAGATAGGCCATAGCACCTCCTTTACCTCCCCTGTGTCACATCTGTGTCTCTCTAGGCTAGACTGGGAGACCCTTGAGGAGAGGATGCTTCCCCAGAAGCCATATACGACCTGCAGGAGGTACTCAGGGAATATTTTTCAAATTGAACAAAACTGAGTATGACCTCTGAGAAGAAACTGTGGGCAGCTCGCATTGCCATCAGGAATGTGGCTCTGACTCACACTGCCTAGATTTGAATCCTGGCTCCCCAAGCTGTGTGACCTTGAGCAACTGTCTTTTCTTTGCTAAGCCTCAGCTCCCTCAATCTGTAAAATGGGAGGAAGGAGAATTCCTACCTCAAAGGGTTTTGTGAAGATTGTATGAGTTAAGCCCTTAAAGCAGGTGCCTGGCATGTAGTAAGTGCTCGATAAATGTTGGCTGCGACTATTCTCACCCACAAGCCTCCCGCCCACAAAAGAAGCGGTGCCAGTGTGCTCCCACCCCCACCGGCCCACCCACACTCCCGTCCCCTCCCCTCAGGGCCTCCTCTTCACAGTCCCAGCTGGTGCCCCTGCATTCCCTCCCTTGTATTTTCTGGTCATTGGGTTCCTATCAAATGTGGCAGGGGTGAGTGTCAGGGCCAACCAGCCTCAGAGCCAACCAGTCTTCCCTCGTAGCCAATGGGAGCAAGGAGTCCAGAGCATTCCCCACTTCCGGGGGATCCTGGCCGGGAAGCAGAAAGCCACAGCCAACCCCTCTCTCAGGCTCCCAGCCAGTACCTCTCTGCCCCTACCCCTCAGGACCACAGGAGCACTCGGGCCACAGAGCCACCCTTGCCTCGCAAGATCCAACACGTAGACCTCTCCACCTGGACCAGCCCTGGCACATCAGGTGTCTGGCTCTGCTGGACACCAGCCTGGTATTCCCAGACACTGCCCCAGGTACAATGCCATGGTAGAGAGAGGGGTTCTGGACTCAACCACACACTTTCCAGCTGTGTAACCTCAGGCAGGTAACATGATCTCTCTGAGCCTTAGTTACTCATCTGTAAAAAGAAGATAATAATAGCACCTACTTGTCAGGGTTGCTGTGAGATAATGCAAAGCACTTACTGTCCCAGTGCATGGCATACAGTAAGTGCTCAATAAATGTCCTCACTCTGATTGTGTAATCATTGGTATTACTCCAGATAAAGATTATTATCCTTTTTTTTTTTTTTTTTTTCGGTGTGCGGGCCTCTCACTGTTGTGGCCTCTCCCGTTGTGGAGCACAGGCTCCGGACGCGCAGGCTCAGCAGCCATGGCTCACGGGCCCAGCCGCTCCGCGGCATGTGGGATCTTCCCGGACCAGGGCATGAACCCACGTCCCCTGCATGGGCAGGCGGACTCTCAACCACTGTGCCACCAGGGAAGCCCCTATTATCCTTTTTTTATAAATGGGGACACAGAAGCCCAAGAGGCTTACAAGGATACCCATGCTGGAGCGAACACAGAGGCACCTCCTACCTCAGCCGGCCTAGTCAGGAGACCCTCTCTACTGCCCCCGCATGCTCAGGCCCAGAACTTGCCTGGGCATCAGCATCCTCTTGGCTCTGGATACTCCCAAGAGGGACCAGGGCTACCAGCCACCTATGCCTCAGCCCTGGCACATTATCTGTGAGGCAGCCTGACCTTTCCTTCTCACCTTTTGCGGGCAAGGGCTGAGAGACCAATGTAAGGCCCCTCCTAAGAGGTAGACTCAGGCTCCAGGCTATAATGCCCAGCCCATCAGAGTCCTGTGTATGGAACAGCCGCAGCAGCAGAGAAGCAGGCATCTGGGCTGCAAAAACCCCAAACCAGTTAGAAGAGCTGGGTACATTAGTGCTGGCTCTCTCACCCAGTTGCCTGTGACCTTGGACAAGTCATTCTCCCTCTCTAAGCCTCATTCAACGTTTCAATATTTACTGAGTGAGGACTACAGGACCAAGTATTCCACTCATGCCGGTTCTGGGAAGCAGTCCTCCATGAAGCTCACAGAACTGGGCCCAGGGAATGGCCATGTGGCCCAGGAAGGGTTTAATAGGAATAATGCCCCCTGCACTGATCTCCTTCTCTAGGATTGCCTTGAGGGGCCCCTCAAGGAACCATGCTCTGCACACACACAAATCTGGTCCATGGGATCAGCAGGCAGGCATGACCTCAGACTGGCCAGCAGAAGCCAGCTTCATCTCTGCACGGAGCTGGCAGAGCCTCCCTGGGCCACAGTGGCTCAGAGAGGAGGCTGGCACAGGCCGCCACTGCCGCAGGCTCCATATGGAGGAATGGGTGGGCAGGCGGGCACACAGTCGCCTCTCTTCTCCACACCCTTGTCCGGGACAGGCAGCACCGATTCTTCCAGGAGCTTCTGAGGGCATCATTCGCGTCCCTAGCTCTCAACCTGGCCCAGCTGCTACTGAATCTGGAAGACTCCTAATGCTGGGAGGTGGCGGAGAGATACAGCAGCTGAACCCCACAGGGCCTCAGAGAGGTCCTAAACCCAGCCCTCTTACACTCCCACCTCTGGGTGCAGAGGAGGCAGGAACACACGGCAGTGTCTCTCCCTCACCAATGCGTTCTCAGAGCTCTGGGGTGGGGGGGGAGGGGTGGGAGCTGGGAAGCAAGGACCACGGCCGGTGCCGCAAAGGAGACCCGTATCCTCAGAACCCCTTCCTCATCCTTGTCCAGCCTCCTACGGTCTCCAGGGACCACCCCCAGCCATAGCCCTGCCAGACAGTGGCCTTAGGATCTGGTAAGTACCCTGATGGCTGTAGTCACTCACCACCACAACCATGTCTGCCCCCAAGATCCCAGCCTCTTGGGGCCTTGGATGTCCCCAAGTGTGAAGGTGCCAGACACAACTGGAACCCACAAGTCCTCTCCCTCTAACGGGTAGGGGAAGCCTCTGGTCAGGACAACACCAGGCCAGAACCTCAGTGGTCCTAGGGCTAAGTTCTATCCCCCCAGCTTTGGGAGAATCGGAAGGGAGGTGGGATGGGAAGTGAGCCCCGAGTGGGGAAAGGACTGTAACCAGAGGGTGAGGGTGAGGGCGAGAGCTCCCCAGCACCCCAATCTTCAGCCAAGAGGCTGTCTTGCAGCATCGGAAGCCTGGACGGAGACATCCAGAGCGCTCTCGGCCTCCACGGCGGCGGCAGGAGTGGTCTCGGAGAACGGAGCGGGCCAGCCCAGCACCCAGCGCAATCATTCATCCCTACAGCAAGCGTCAGCCCCCTCGCCTGCCCACCTCTCTCTCCAGGCCTCGGGGAGGCTTCAGACCTGGGAGGTAGGGAGGAACAGCAAGGACCTCCCCCGCACTGGTCGGAGGGCCAAGAGCCTGCAAACTCAGTTCCTGCCGGTCGGTGCCGACCTCCCCCAGGGCTGGAGGCTGGGCCTCCGGGTACCGAGCCCCTAGCCCCCCGTGCCACCTGATCCCCCGCACGTGCCTACCTGGGTCTGGGGGTCCCCATCTCGGGCAGGCTGGGCGGGGGGCGCCCCCTCGGCTCCTGCGGGCCGGCAGGCCGCGGGGCGGGGCGGGCGCGCCGGGCCGCGTTGGGCTCTGCGGAGCAGCCTGGTCCGCGACACCCCCGCCCGCTGATGGATGCCGACTGCAGCAGCGGCGGCGGCGGCTCGGCGTGCGCCGGGGGCTGGGCACCGTGCCTATAGCCCCGGGCCTGGCGCCCGTCGCGCGGCCAGTCCCCGCCCCCGCCCGGCCTCTGCGCCCAGCCCTGGGGCAGCCGCCGCGCGCCTGCCTGCTCCCTCGCGGCGGCCCTGCCCCTGCCTCCGCCTCCTCCCTGCCGGTCTCCCTCTCGCTCTCTCTCAGGCTCCCAGGCCACCTCCTCCCGGGCGCTGCCACAGCGGCAGTTACCGGACCACCGCGGGACTGTGCATGGGCAGCCAAGCCCGGCGCCTCCGCTGACCCCACCCTGGCCTTGGACAGCCCCTGTCCCCGCTC